CTTGAGTAGAATTACCAGGTTAGTCCACAAACAGAGTAACAGAAGCTAAGAAAGACAGTGCTGAATGAAGTTGCAAAAACAACATCAACATCAAACCCCATTATTATTTTTTTCTGGAAAGAGTTATGAATTTGGGTAATTTCATTCTGAAAATCTAAATTTGAAAAAAAAAGGGAGGACTGAGTTTTAAATCAATAAATTATCTTAACCAATTTTCATTTTTAGATGCAGGATGAGGTTGAAAGTCAATTAGAATAATATAATATATAGTTAGACAAATGTGAGTAGTATATTTTATATTTAAACTGAATTAGAGATTGTGACTAGCTTTTAGCATCATTTTTAAACTTTTTGGTAATTTACCTTTTTTCAATTAAATTAAAATCCCAGATTATCTTACTTTTTGAAAATATTGGTTAATTTCTGTACCTTTCAATCATCCGCAATGCTTACAGATGGGTTTTGCAAGTTGATTTACTGCAAGAAGTACTTATAATTCATTCAGGAAAATCAAGTCTGTGATACACTGATTGCTTTATTATCCTCATCTCAGGCATGTGGATCTTTTATATACAGATAAGGCTGTGCATGGCTGTTTTTGAAAAATAGCTATAAAATTTCATCTAACTCATCCTAGGCTGCAGTTTCAGGATCTGACCATCTTACTCCTTTTTCCTCTCTTTCTGATTCATATTGAGGTGGATTCGAGTTGGGGTTGTTGTTGTTTTTTTACATTTTTCTAACCCAAAACGATAATCATAACTCTCCAGCCACCTGCTGGCTACTAAATCATTGTATGTTTTAAACAGATCGATTACTATCTTGTTCCCTACTTCTATAGACTGGGAGCTGTTCAAGAGATATGTATTTTTATAATGGAAACAGTATGATGCGAAGACTGGCTGTTAGGTGACTTATGACTTCCCTTTATGTCAGTATCCATTACATAACCTTTGTAATATTTCTAATGCACTCTGCAGAGCAACTGAGCTTAGCTCTCTGAATCTGTCTCTTTTCAAGCATGGCTCCTATGAACAAATCAAGATCAGCCGGCTCAGTCTCCAGTAATTAGGGCAATATTAGTCACAATACTCTCAGAGTAAATCCATCTCTTTTATAACATCTGGTATTGAAGACTAAACAGTGATCTTCCCCCATAACAACCTATAATCCCTTTCAAAAATAGGTCTTATTAATGATGACTCAGCAGATGGCTCTCTCATGTTTACAGAATATTTTTCTCCAGGCAAAAAAAAAGATTTCTTGGTAAATTTGTCATTCTTTGATAACCCAATGATTATTCTATGGGTTTTTTTTTAAACTTTTTGTTAATTTAACAATAGCAAAATTTCTGATAAAATGAACACAAAATTCCAAAATATAGGTAGAAGAAATTTTTTCTCTTTTTTTCCTTTACTATTTATTTATTAAATTTATATGTCGCCCATCTCACTCTGCAAAGCAACTTTGGGAGGCTTACACTTTACAAATTAAAATGATCAATGTTAAAATATTAACAACACTAGATACAAAACAAACAAAAACCCAGAAGCAAAAATGTTATAGTGGCAGCATCTTCCCTATTAGTTCACCAGCCAACCCCAATATAGATCACAGATTCTCAGGTTCCCAAGCCAACTGGCAAAGATTTCTTCCAATAGGTCTAAAGGGTGGGGGCAGAACTAATTTAAGGTGGCAAGATGTTCCAAAGACTAGCAGAAAGATTCTTCTTCTAGATCCTGCCAGCTGAAACACTTTGATTGATGGGAAACCATAATATGCCCCTTTGGGTGGATGAGTGGGGTGAGCCAATCCCATTGGTGCCTCAGATAATCTTGTCCCATGCCATAAAGGGCTTTAAAGATGATAACCAACATCTTAAAATGGACCTGGAAGTAACACAGCAACCAGTACATCTTCATCATTGGTTTTGGTGGGGTGCAGACTATAAGGGAAAAAAAACCAACATCTACAGAAATAATTCCTTAATTGGAAAAATTGAAAGTTTCAAAAATTGTTAAAAGCTTGTGTGTGTGTGTGTGTGTGTGTGTGTGTGTGTGTGTGTGTGTGTTTGCTCTACATAGAAAAAAGAATACTATCACAGAGATGTATTGGTGGTCTTAGGATATATCTTGCTGACAGCTCTTGTTTAGTGACATAACATTCAAGGAATTTATGGTATCAAACTGATTTTTTTAAAATATGGGTATATGGGTGTAAATGTATGTATTATACATCCTACACATACATGTGTAAAATTAGTAGGGGACCAAAATGTTCAAGTGGACAGGACAAATGAATAAGTGAGTGAGTCAGTGATCAATCAGGTGCAGGAAATCTTATTTTGAAATGGAATGTGTATTCTGCACTTGTACAGCTACAAATTCAGTGACCATTATGAGTTATGACAGTGCAAAGTGAAGGAAAGTTCCAGCCCTCCTGCGGTCACATGATCAAAATTTGGGTGCCTAGCAACCAGCTTACACATGCAGCCAGTCACATGATCACCAATTGTAATTTCCCTACCCCCAAGTAAAGTCAATGGGAAATTGGCAAGGAAAGTCACAAATTGCAGGGATATGTCTCTACCACACCATCCCCACAGCCTTTGTTCACTCACCTGAATTGCTCCCTCTTCCCCCTCCCTTTGCTCACCCCTCTTTTCATGGCCTCCCTTCAATCACAAACATGCACACACACTGTGCCCTCTTCCCTTGTCTTCCTCATATCACACACATCCTGCACCCTCTTTTCTCAGTCTCTCTGCAATTACAGTCTCTCTGCAATTGCACACACACAGGCCTGTCTATGGCCTGCCTATGATTACATGCACCCCATGCCTTCATTCACCAGCCTTTCTGAGTTTACACCACACTGAGCACTCCCTCCCCCAACAGACATAAAGTATAATCTGCAGTAGACCTCAAAGGACCTCCTTCACCCTTTGTGTGGCATCACCCCCTCTTCCTACTTGGAACTTTCTCTGTTTCCTGACCCACACCTTTTGCATTACAACACAACTGAGACTGCCTGGACTGCCGATGCTAAATGATGTGGTCACTTGACACAACAGTTTAGGAATACATCACTTAGTAATAGTGATCCAGTCATAA